GCAGACTCAAACTTTCTTAATTGCTTTCCTAAGAGAGTTATTAGGTCTGCCTGAAAATAGTATAATCTTTTTCAGTTCAGTAATTAGTGTCGTGCATTAAATAGTACCCTAGTGGCCTAATAGAATTAATTCTGCTTCTTGAGTGTTTTAACTGTCCAAACCACAGCTGGCAGACTGGCATTCACTCTTCCTAATATTACAGCATTTTGCCAACACAACCTGGAAGTTTGAAATTTGACATATTAATTCCTTGTATTTTATAGTTTAAAAAGTATGTAAATGACTGAAATAAATGTATACATTTGATATTGATTATTTTACAAACATGAATTTTAAAAATATGTATATCACAACTTTAAAGAATGTATTATTAATATTTACAATTATAATTCAGGGCGTCTGGGCTCACATCTCATTTTCGTATTTCTTTATCTGTAAAGGGAACAAGTGTAGGTAAACTTTTAGGTTCCCTGCAACTCTCTCATACCATGATTATGTGAAGTGCTAACTTAAGCCCTCAGTGAAACATCTGTTAACATTTCAAATTTTTGCTGAATCTCTGACATCTCCAGTGGTGCCTCTCCTCTCAGAGATTGTCGTGACTTGTAGGTAGGCAGACCTCTTTGATCTCCAGGTGCCAAAATTGAATCCTAAATTACTCTGGACATATATATTTTGTTTTTCATCGATCATAAAAAATGAAGAACTTTCACCTTTTAATAAGATTTCTAGGAAGCAGAGAGTCAGGGAGAGGGATTTATTCAACCAACAAAATAAAAGATCTGCTCCTAAGAAAGTCTTTACCTATGACTGAATCAAAACCAGACAATGCCTTGATTTCAGCATCTTTCTTCTGTCTTGGTGAATCTGATTAGCTTTATCTGAAAATTTGAATTGTTAAGTAATCTAAAGTTTCTGAATATAAAAATCTTAATCTCTAAGTAAGATTTTCAGTAAAGATTAACAGCCAATTTGGGTAATTTAGGCAAAAATATGTTGTTTTTAATTTATTCCTTTTACATGAAGACTCTTTCTTCACAGTAGATGAAAATTATTTTATTATTCATGAAGAATAATAAAATATGTTAATTTAGGTTTCTTGCCAATGCAACTCTCTTTTCACCCTTGGAAAATGTGATAGAGCTTGTATGCTTACTAAGGTTTTTATGAAGATTTTTATGCCTTTATGCAGTGAAGTTTCAAAGGGCACATATTCAATATGCTTTACAGTAAATTAAAGATGACCTTATCACAGGCAGCTCTTTTCCATAGGGTAGACTGTAGTTGAATTTGAAGTTAAGTGAATCATTTTAAGTTTAAAATATATTTCTTCATACTGTTCATTTGTCTTATGGCCCTAATTGATTTGGTCACTGTTGGTTATCTTAAAAAAAAAATTTGCTTAAAAATTTTCTTATAGGTTTACTTATTTTTCCTAGAAATCATAATTTTTGACCCTCTTTTAAATTATTTTATAAAAGGATGAAACTGAGAATTAATATTGCATATTATTCTCCAGAGGAATATCATTCAATGTATAATAATTTTTTAACTAAGTAATTGAGGCTATTTTAGAAATGAGTATATAAAATGTACCAGGCCATAAAACTTTTAACATCCAAAAATATGTTACATAAAACACTATTCTTATGTAAAATAATTGATGTTAAAGAAATTTCAAAATTGGTAATCAATTTGGGAAATACTGATTAAACAGTTAACTGTTATTGCAGGATTTCTGAGGGTCTATAATATGTCAATGTGAAAATCATTTTCTGTACTTATTAGATCACAGAACCCTTTTGTGTGGAGTGAGATAGGGTTTTCAAAACATTGTAAAAACAAACAATTTTGCATCAAGATAGATAGTAACAAAAGAAGAAAAGAATGCAAACCTACTGGTCAATAACTTACATATGTAACATATTTTACAACTCATCAAGCTTCTCATTTACTATACATCTACTTATTTGATACAGTATTTGCCAAATAAAGTAACTAACCATCCCAGTGTACCCGGGATTGAAAAGATTCCTGGGACTCAAGACTTTTCCTTGCAATATTGTGACAGTTGAGGAAAACCAGGGCAATTGGTCATCATAATTACCTCGGAATCACAGAGATCTGGATTCAAATCCACTTTTGCCACACATTTTTTGTGAAGCTGAGTAAAATGAAAGTTTATAACTTGGAATCTTCAGCTATAGAATTGGAATAAAAACAGTTGTGGCATAGGGGTTTTTAGATCTACTGGGAAACTGTCTATCTCCGGCTTGTCACGAAGAGAACTAGGTAAACATGAATATTTTTCCCTACCTTCCTTTTCAACACTCTTATAACATAGAAGAAGCATTGCTCTCGTTATTTTACTAAACAACCTAGACAATAATACTTTAGTTCACTTGCCAAAGGCAACAGAAGAGGAAATAGGAAAATCTGGGCTTGAGCCCTGTCTTCTGATGCTTAATGCACTGCTTTCTAAACTGTAGTCAACTAATTCAAGTGGTAAAGAAAACTTCTGACAGTGGTCATTCATAGGAAATGTCATAACACTTTAATAGTACTTAAATTTTAGTATTTTTCTTCGAATATATATTTTTAAATTTTATTATGGTATGGATACTATGTTTAGAAAAAGGTGCTGTCGTTGCGATAACCCATGAAAATTTGTGCTGTAGCCTACTTACCCTCTTTTGTGTTCATTAAATTTGAGATATACACAGAACTTCTTTTCATTCCCCCCTTTTTTGGTGTTAGAACACTGTTTTCTCGTATCAGAGATTACAGTAATGTATTATTGATTGGTTTGGCTGATGACTCTTGGACATAACAAACATGTCTAAAATGCATATTTTATTTTATTTTTGTAAACTAAGTCTCAATAAATACACATTTAAAGCAAAGTAAAAAGCACATTTGGAAAATGGACCGTAAAAAACGATTTCCCAGATTTATTCTTAATGTGTGGCTATGATGTGATTGTGATATAGCACTGCAAAGCAAAATGGTCCCCCACTGAAATATGAATTTCCAACTCAGCTGAGGGATTTCACAGAACATAAACATAGGGGCAGAAATGAAGCATTTGCTTTCAAAGAAGGAGATAGTTACATTGTCATCATGATCCTTTCAAATTAATTTACATCTAGTTTAATGAATGGTAGAATAAAACTGAAATATTTAACTATCCAATCAAAAATGTGAACATATTTGTTTAGAAAAATAAATGAGCCATACATGCAGAACATAAGCAGAAAGGAACTCTGGATACAGAAGCTGTTGATTTTCTCTCAGCCCAATATTGTGTTTCTATGATTGTGACTTTTAATTTAAAATGGTAATAGGCTCAAGACTTGATTAGTTTTGAGCATTTGAAAAAGGTTGAAAGGATTTTTACTCTTAATGTGTGCTTACTCTGAATCATATTCATAATATGCTACATGGATCTAAATGCTTTCAATTCATTCAAGCTAATCATATTTTTTAAATGTAGTTAACCAACATCTGTAGACCTCAAACACATTTAGTAGACGGCTTTATAGCTTTCCCCTAGTAATGTGAGCAAGCTAAGTAAAAAAATGTTGGCTTTTAGCTATTATCACTATTTCCATACAAACCGCAATATTTCAATTTAGGTTACATTTCTTTTTCAGAGACCTAGACATTATTGTAAGAATTATTTTGGCAATAAACTTATCTTTGTATAAAAAACAAATTAATGTTTTTTTCCTTTAGAATAGAAACAAACATACAAGAGAAGCAGATATATCTTGATGTGATATTTCTTATTTGCTTCAAGAAGTCATTTCTTAAGTAGATGTCCTGTATTGTCATCTCAGGTGAACAACAGAGTATGGGGAGCTTAGTGGTTTTACTGTTAGATGGCTTGTCTTTTTTCCATGACAAGGAAGGCAAGGTTTTCAGCAGGAATTTAGAGAAAGAGAAGCGTGTGGAGGTCAGGGTATTTGGAGAAGACAAAGATGAAATTATCATTTTTGAGAGTGGAAGACCTGAAATACTAAGGAACTGAGTAGAATTTGTGGGGAATGCTGAATGCCTGTTTTGGATTGGTGATCAAGAATTTAGCATGTCCCAAAGTCAGTATGGTACAGTATTGCATTTCTTTCTCCCAAGCTTCACCGTACTTTTAGTACCTACAGATTGAAAAATAATGACAGAAATTTTCTCAGCATTCAGTAAAACTTTAATGTCGAAATGTAATTAATCATTAACTGACAGCATCATCCATTTGGCAAATGGTAATATATATACATGCACATGCTACTACTTATCCAGACACTGACAATGCCTGGAACACATGTAGTGTTAATCTGCTTGGTCCTAGAAAATGTAATAATTCTGCTGTCCCATTAGAATCTGAACACCATAAGCTTTGAACCAATGTTATCATAGACTGTTGAAGCATGGAGGCATGGGGGCATAGAAATTATGAAGTTTTGTGGTTCTTCTACTTGATTACCAGAATCACCTAGGGGATCTTAAGTAGACACCCCTAAAACCACTGCAGATCAGTGTGAGCATGACCAGGGTTGAATTAGAGACTAAGAATCCTGAAACTAATTCATATTCTTTCTGCATTGACAAATGTATTTCTCATTAGACTGTAAAGAAATATTAATTGTTAATCTTATAGTTTTGTATATCACCATAGCAGGCTATAATGTGAGGCTGTAACAAGAAGCAGGTTAGAAAAATAAAAGAAAAATAAACATTGACACAATTATTATGAAAAGGTCTCACCTGAAACAGCTGAGATATTAACATAATAGAACATGTTTAGAGTCAAAAGCACATTTCAAAGTCCCCATGTTTTGTAATGCTTCTGTTCGATTCTTAGGTTTCTAGATGCAGAAATTGTGTTTAAATTCTTGGAGTTTTAGATGGTATTGTGTGCTGAGCAACGGCAGTCTTGGTTGCTGGTGTGCAGTGAGTTTCCGAATTTTCTCCCGTTCTGATGAAATGTGTGTGATCCTTTGCAGTATACTTCTGCTCTGACCTATGATGCCGTTCAAGTGATGACTGAAGCCTTCCGCAACCTAAGGAAGCAGAGAATTGAAATCTCCCGAAGGGGGAATGCGGGAGACTGTCTGGCAAACCCAGCGGTGCCCTGGGGACAAGGTGTAGAAATAGAAAGGGCCCTCAAACAGGTCAGTTACTCAAAATAATCATTAACGTGACTTAATATGGCCATTAATGTTTTCTTCCTGCTGAATTAGTCATCTTTGTCTTATTCCTTATGTCTAACATGCAGGCAATGTTCTTTCCTAACAACGCAAAGGTAGGTTGAAGAGAGAAACAAACCTTATTGATGTAGTTTTCTTGACTTCAGCTGGTGAAAGTAATCTGTACAGTGTATATGTTTAGATGAAGTAAATAGATAACTCTGCTCCTTTCCCATTTCTTCATTAGGTTCAGGTTGAAGGTCTCTCAGGAAATATTAAGTTTGACCAGAATGGAAAAAGAATAAACTATACAATTAACATCATGGAGCTCAAAACTAATGGGCCCCGGAAGGTAAATCCTTAGTGATTTAAAGGCAGTTCTAAGTGAGGAGGTGAGTTAGCTAGCCTATGAGTTCACGCTTCCAGAGAGTTCTGGAGATGTGTATTCACATAGAGTTTAATGACTTCCAGAAACAGATGTATTTTGAAGTTTTTTTTTTCCTAAAGTCTGTTTATTTCTGGTAAGTAACATTGAACTATAATTTTAAAAATAATTCATAGGTAGAGCTGTTGAACTTTAATTTTTTGGACTGAAGTGGAAGTCTTTAATGAAAAGAGAAAGAACTATTGTTGAAGGTTTATGGTTCAGAAGAAAAAACAGTAGCTGATGCAAAGACGCATGTAACTGTTCAATTCAACATCACCCTTTTAGCTGTTTAGGCTAAAATGCCATTATTTGGATTTTAATTACATTTCTATATGACCACTCCCAAACAATTACTCTTAGAGAATATGAAAAGTGAATATGAAAAAACAAGTCATTTTTAACAATTTTTTTTATACTTCCTTTTATTCCTGTTAGATTCACATATATAAAAGACATTTCTGTTTAGAACAAGCCCAGTAAATGTGGGTCTAATTTCAGACTGAGACATGGCTTTGAAAATAATTAAATGCTTTGCTAATAGACAAGTCATTTATCCATACGTCTGTCTGCTGTAACCTTTTCCAGATTGGCTACTGGAGTGAAGTGGACAAAATGGTTGTTACTCTTACTGAGCTCCCTTCTGGAAATGACACCTCTGGGCTTGAGAATAAGACTGTTGTTGTCACCACAATTTTGGTAATTTGCTACATATGCCTATGTTTTACTTTGTATTTTCTTATGGATAATGTCTGCGGGAGTAGCTATTTATATTTTAGGAAAATAATACCTGTTTTGCTTCTTTTGCAATGTTTTAATCATTTACTGCATATTTACTCTGTTAAAAGGAATACACAAGATCTAGCTAAAGCATTCAAAATGTTCCTGATTTTCTTTAAGGAAGGCTACAGTTTAACTACACAGATAATTCCTTCCCTGGTGCTTACATCGGTGAACAATTGGGGAATGTCTTGAAGAGTGTTCCTCGTATTTCTGCGAGTTCTTCACCTTTCCATTCCCACCCAATACTGTGTAAATTCTTTCTTTCCATTTGGTACGTGATTTCATGATGATGTTGAGTTGTCTTTATTCTATCTAAGGAAAGATGATCTCCTTAAAGACAAGGATTGTTTCCCTTCTTTTCACTCCAAGTTTCAGCACTGGTTGGCACATAGCTAGTACACAATCAATGCATATTGAATGAATAAGGAAAAATTGAACTGGATCTTCAACACCCAGGCTTTGGATAGATGGAAGAGAGATGTGGATCACCATGGCAAGCTGTTGGTGAAATGAAATGGAGAAAATGGTGTTTGTTATAGGACAGGATTTTGTGACAAAACTATTTCATTTTATTTTCTTTTACAAAAAAAAAAAAATGGCCTTAACAGTGAAGTTGTAAATTTGTGTGATTTATTCTCCTAACAATACTGAGAGCAGATATAGATAGATTGATAAGGGATTTGAATTAAAACATTGGTAAGCAATTGAAAATCTCCTGATAAGTGCAAATTAGACATTTGAGGATTTTTGCCTTTATCATGCCATTGAGAGGAACTATCTCACTGAGACTCCAAATATCCTCGGTGCCACTTTCCAATGGAGAATATTGGACTGTGTTGATTCATTTTTTTCTTGCTTCCTTTTTCTTATGTTTACAGGGGGAAGCTACTCTCTAGCTATCCTTGTAGCATCATTCTAGGATATTGTATCTCACAGATGAAGTGAGACCTGAAGCCTGCGGGGGTAGAATCAGTACATCATCATGACAATGATCGTTTCAGTCTGTGTATCACTGGCCATGAACCTGATTTCCACATGAACCTTATCTTTGGGACAGCAGTGACACAGGGTTTTGGGTGAATGCTGGTTTGGGGATTGGCATAACCTTAATCAAGGATAAGGGTTTGGTGAATCCAAACTGGAATAAAATAGGTGTTGAGCAGTAATATTTTGCTCTAAGTCCTAATAATTACAAATATGGCTAGAGAACATACAAAGAGTTTGTGATTTTGAGTATCTTGTTCACTCGGTATGGTTACGTACAAGCCATCTTAATGAAATATAATGATAAACATACAGAGATTTTTTTGGGGAAGCATTATACTTAAAGTATTCTTCTACTGTTGTGTGTTCACCATCTATATTCTTCATTCACTCTGGCTAACAGGTAATAATTAAACCAGAAGATTTGATTCAATGAGAGTACATAATTAACACAGATATTTTAATCAGCTAAAGCAAAGTCTTTTCATATAGGAATCTCCATATGTTATGATGAAGAAAAATCATGAAATGCTTGAAGGCAATGAGCGCTATGAGGGCTACTGTGTTGACCTGGCTGCAGAAATCGCCAAACATTGTGGGTTCAAGTACAAGCTGACGATTGTTGGTGATGGCAAGTATGGGGCCAGGGATGCAGACACGAAAATTTGGAATGGGATGGTTGGAGAACTTGTATATGGGGTAAGTATAGCTCTTCTCATAGATAAAGTCATTCAATTTGAATTGTTGTTGACAGACTGCTTCCTCTCCCTGTGAAGTATCTATGTCTGAGGTTGTCGATTTCCCACATTACTCTAGAAACATTATCTTGTTGATTTGTGAACATCTGAAAGATTAAGATTGAAGCCAGAAGTAGACATGTAGATTAACTGAGACAATCATTACATCTCTCTTGAAACATATGGGCCATATGTATTGTCAAAAGGCTGCAAATGCAGAGATGTAGTGCAGATGTGTAATGATCATAGTCAAGCCAGATGGGTATACTGTGTATTCATAAAGAGGAGGGGCATTGGGGGAATAATTCCCTTTTGTTCATTCTTTACTGGGACTATACCAGGGAAAGAATTATTGCGATTTCTCTGATTTCCTCTCCTTTTTCTTTGATCCAGTGACATAACCACGATTCCCTTTTCACCATGACTCCAGGTACTATTACTTTCCTTTTTTTTCCCTTACAGAAAGCTGATATTGCAATTGCTCCATTAACTATTACCCTTGTGAGAGAAGAGGTGATTGACTTCTCAAAGCCCTTCATGAGCCTCGGGATATCTATCATGATCAAGAAGCCTCAGAAGTCCAAACCAGGAGTGTTTTCCTTTCTTGATCCTTTAGCCTATGAGATCTGGATGTGCATTGTTTTTGCCTACATTGGGGTCAGTGTAGTTTTATTCCTGGTCAGCAGATTTAGCCCCTACGAGTGGCACACTGAGGAGTTTGAAGATGGAAGAGAAACACAAAGTAGTGAATCAACTAATGAATTTGGGATTTTTAATAGTCTCTGGTTTTCCTTGGGTGCCTTTATGCAGCAAGGATGCGATATTTCGCCAAGGTTGGTTACTCACCTGCTTCAACTTTGTGCATTTTAGGTCTCAAGTGGACATTCATGGTGTTTATGAATTCACTCTAAAGAAGTTACCAGCTGCCGACTTCCTGTCCAAGTGGTTTAAGACACTTAAAGGACATCCTCTTAGCTTCGGCATAAGTCTGTGAAATATATGAACAATGTTCTGCGAATGTTGCTCATCTATTTCCCTGGTGAAATTATACACACCATGGAGAGGCTATAAAATGCATAAGGTTCCTATCATTCCATGCCTTCTTGGAGGGGTACCGTGTTTTTGCTGCATATTCTCATTTTACAGTCATCTGTGTGTTGATGCACAGACCTGTATATGGGAAAATGGGCAACGTTATTTATTAACTGCAACAGTAACACCTTGTTAGATAAAACTTCGTTGGCACACATCTCATCTCTTTTATTTTCCCATCATTAGCTCATGGAAATGGTATGCGAGAGATATTATAAAATTTTGTTTTTTCTAGGTGAGGTTACTGGATTAATATAATAGCATATTTTCAAGTACCCACAAATGCCTGGAAGGGACTAATCAGTCATTAAAAAAACCTATCCATATCGAATGGTAATACACACACATCATGGAATAAACTCACCTACCTTTAATCTCATTATGATATGTTAAATCCCTGCACTAGAATGCCTAATTATAATGAATCTACCACAAAGTGCCTATTGATTTTATTCATGTTGCACATATGAATAAGAATGATAGCCATGTTTGGCTCTTCAGAGGAATAAATCATGTTTTTCTAGTGTGATTAACATTTAAAGTCAAAATGTTTATCAGTCTACTGGCGCATTTTAATTTAGGCTCTAGTACCCTTCTTTGATTTTACAGGATATCTTAAAAACTAATGGAGCGGGTGCCTTTCATGATACAGTTTATTATGTTGTGAGTTTTTAAAATCACTTTTGAGAATAACAAGTGATTAAGAAAACTATATGAGAAGCTCAAAGATTGGCATCTTTTGCAATCTTTTTAGTATATTTCACCCAGTGAGATAAAGGAAATACATTATGTAGGCAGCAATTATCAGTAGCTTACTTCTCTGATAGTAGGTAATTCTAGCGGGAATGATTTAAAAAATTACATTTTTATGAATTATACAGACTTTTGAAATCTCAGTTTCACCAGATTCCCTGTGACTTCCCTGTGGGACTTCAGTGAATTAGGAATATGCCAATGGTATTTGCACAGCATGACATAAGAGTGTGTGTGTGTGTGTATATATACACATACACATATACATACATATATTTTTTACCTCTGACAAAATATGTAAGATTCATAGTTTTATCATCTCTGTATTTAGTTTATTTAATCTAAGTTAAAGATATATAGAGAAGTTTCTAATAATTTGGAGGAAAATACTAACCAAATTGGGGTCTCAGAGAACATTCTGGCCCGTAAAATGATAAAGAAGTAGTTCACTCTTTGGTAAGAAGGACAGTGAAGTATGTTACCCTAGTTCTGAAATGTAAGGCAATAATATCCTGTGCTATGCTTTTTGGATAGTAGGGAGAAGTGTATGTGGGTTCGTTATGGAGTAGAACCCAGTCTGGCCTGGGTTCCCGTCGATGCCTGCTCCTGGGCATGATGGCACTGCAGGTAGTTGTTTAGGTATCCAGTGTTTGTCAAGGAGTGGGAAACCTAATTGCACACAGGGACCGGAGCACAAGGCATATCAGCAATCTGTATTATCCCAGAGTCGACCATGACATATAGATGACTTCTCCTTTTCATCAAGGCCGCATCTAAATTAAGATATTTTTTCTGTGCTTTTGATTTCATTCATGAGTCATGACATTACAGTTTCACATGTAGTAACTTTTATTTCCTGGTAAGATAAACAGATTTTTAGATAGCATATTTTTCCTTGTTATTGATTGATATTTTTTCCTTCAGAATGTATTTGCTAAAAATTTATTTTATTAAAACATTTGAGATACATGTCTTTCATTTATGCTATATATGCATCTTAAAATTAAACATAGTATACTGGCAAAGTTAATGATTTTTAATGAACAAAACTATCATTTTTAAGAATGCAATGATGGTTACCCCAGTTAAGAAGAATACAGTAGCTTATTATCAGTTTTAAATAGCATGACATCCACAGATCACTTTAGAAATATCTTTAAATATTAAAAAGTATTTATAATTCTTTTCCAAGTAAAATATGGTATGAAACTATATTATTAATGTTAATAGAACACATTTAAGTTGTAATCTAGAGTGATTTATTAAATTAAGTGACTTCTCATTTGTCTGAAATTAAGTTTAGAATATCCTAACTATAAGACATGGTCTCATGGAGAATAGAATCACAGAAATTATGAAAGCAATATGCTGTAAAGGTTATTTTTATTGTCCTGTTTGCTTCCAGATTGTCCACAGTGACCCTAAAGGAATCAAATGAAGGTGTATCATTTAAAAAATGATTTAGTGGGGATTAAAAAGAAATAAGAGCATATGCACATTTCTTTACTCCTTTAGTGCTGATGCTGATGAGTGAAAGTTTTACTTTTAATTTTAGAAGTAATTTTTGTCTGTCACCATAAAATAATATTGAATTTCCTTCTCTGCATAATTTCTCAGGAACTCTTTGAGAAACATGAATTGACACTTTAAAAATACTTAAAAGTAAATAATAAATAGCTGAAGTACTTTTCGCCTTTGAATTATTTATAAGTCCAATAAAATTTTTAGATATCATGTACATTTTAAATGTACGTATTAAATCTGATATAAGGACTGGAATAGAGGACAACTTACATCTAACTTTTCTTAATTTTTACAACTGGAATAGAATGACTTATAAAAATGATTCTTAAACATATCGTAAATTATTATGCAATGTGTAGAGTTTTAAGGGATTTGAGCAGTCAGGTACTGAATCTGCGCTCTTAAATATATGATACATGTCATATAACTATACTTCCCATTGATATTAGATGAATAGTGAACATTTTGAGAGTGATTGTGTCTACATAAGGCATTTTTCAAATGTAAAATATATTTAATATCCTTTTCAGAATATATGTGAGAAGTGTTTAACTTTTTCCATCCTATCATATTTATTTAATTTTTTGTATTTCATACAGACTTTGTGATAAAGACCTTTAATTATATTCTTTTTATTTTTCCTTGCTATTTTTCTCTCTCTATCTCCTTTATTTTAGCAACTGATGTTTTTATATAAAAAACCTTTTCATTTAAATTAGCTTCTCTCCTTTCTTAACTGCTTGAGTGGTTCATTCTACAAATATTTCCCAAGTGTTTGATCTAGTATATGTTTCATCAAAAGATTTATTTCTTAATGTTAATTGTCAGAAACTTTAGATCATAAATTGCCAAGCATGATTTAAATTTTTAGAAATATCACTTATTCACACTAGCAAGTCTAATTGTTAGACATAGCAGAGTTACTGACAACAAAGAATTGGTTATTTTTATTGGTTTATCAATATCACTTAAATTCTTAGTTATGTGCAGAATCCCATCAAATCTTTCAAAATAATACAGTATATATCTTTTGCTGTATCTCTATACCTGTATTCCCCTACTTCAGGTTTTAAAGTAAATTATTGGGAATCTATTAAGCTTTTAAAAACTATTCTATGTAAGAATTTGTAGTCAGAAAAATATTGTTATTTTATTATACCTCAAACTAGAAATTTATATCTTCACAGACTTTTAAATGTATAATTTGTTTTCTTTAAGTTTTTTTTTTTTTTTTTTTTGAGACAGCGTCTTGCTGGAACAGGGTCATAGCCATCCATACCCTGAAGCCGTCTGATTTTTATTCATTAATAGTTATATTTGGTGCGATATCTTTGCTTGTAGCTTTATTTTTCCTCATTTTTCTCTCCTGTGCTGTATCTAATACCAATGTTTTACATACGTAAGATTAACAAAATTTGGGGCCATTTTTGTTTTGGAAATTGAGTGAATTAAAGGGAGGGTTTCTTTGGTCTTAAAGTTATATCTGTGGAGTATGCTTTTATTTAATTTTTGATTTTGTTCATAAACATTGTTATGAGCTTTGCTGGTGATATTACATTCTCTTGTTTATGTTTACTTACATAATGAGTGGATAAATTTTTATGAGTATTTGTAAATTTCTTGAAATTGCTTTCTTATGGGATTCATATCAAACTATTTGGGCATTACAATTATGGAAGTATTCCAGAAATCAGAAGTTCTGACCTGTGTGTATGCTGTTAAATTTAGCTACTCTGTACTCCTTGCCCAAAATGTTTAATGATTTCCAGTTTCGTTAACTATATTGAAAAATATAAAATTAAATATTCCCCTATAAGTCAATATTTGCATAATACTGTTAACTTGTTTTTTATTAGGTCATTCATTTCACTTTACAAATCCATTTCATACTTGTTATTAGATCCCTCTCTGGGCGCATTGTTGGAGGTGTGTGGTGGTTCTTTACCCTGATCATAATCTCCTCCTACACGGCTAACTTAGCTGCCTTCCTGACTGTAGAGAGGATGGTGTCTCCCATCGAAAGTGCTGAGGATCTTTCTAAGCAAACAGAAATTGCTTATGGAACATTAGACTCTGGCTCCACTAAAGAGTTTTTCAGGGTAAGAGATTCTGCTTTGTAGTTTCTGATTTTGTTCCTGAAATTTAACCTATTTAAACTTTGTTTCCCTCCCATAGTCAATTCCAAGGTACTATGTGAAAGTAACCCTAATTCTATTTCTGTTCTTGACCTTGTCTCTGCTTCTGACCCTTCCCTATCCCAATACTTAGGTCTAGCTCTAATTTCTGACTCCTAACTCCTCAAGAGAAAAACCACAATGTTGCAATGAAATCTGTTTTACCAAAATTGATTGTCCTTTTGGAACAACGTTGAAGCAAAGTATAGTTAAGATTAGATTATTATGTTTTCAACAAAACATCTTATTTTTGTTTGATTTTAAATAAATATGACTGCATTTATCTTACCTAGTTCATAATTGAAAAACTCACATTCAAATCAATTATGTTAATTATGTGTGAGGAAACAGATTATGTTCATATGTGTTGATTCTGAATTTTCTGTGCAAAGCTTCCAAGGAAAAGCCAGCGAAGGCCCTCCACTTCCTAACTTTTAAAATATGTAGCATATTTATACTGTGTCTATTAGATGTAGGTGACTTTTTTAACTTTTGTTCTTACGCTCTCTTTTTATAGGATAAGCCCAAAGGCCTGATGTTGGCATAATTTTCTTTCTTTCTACTATTGTGTGTATAAAACAACTCTTTCTATGAAAATGTTTAAATGCAGCTGATTAACATAGGTCTAAAGGCAATATTGGTGACATATAATGGTCTCTGATAATCTATAAATATCTTCAAATATATCTGAGTTTGAGTGAGATCTAGTCCAACTTATTCATGAATTAGGATTAGGACCTTCAAATGACCATCAGAATTTGAAGACTATCTCATGCTACATTACCTCTGGTCTCTTTTCTGAATAACTTCAGTTCAGCTGAAGATACTATGGGAGAAAGGGTTCTGGGAGTGGGAGTGGTAGAACCATAGCTAATAACAGGTAGTAACTTGGGTGTATGTGAAGAGTGCAGGACCTTGAATTAGGTACCTCAATTTAAGTGCAAAGATGTGGACCATCAGCAGCTTTTTTTACTTTAATGCAGATTTTAGTATGAATCTTGTAATGTAGATTTGCCACTAATGACAATGTATTATCATTTCTAAACATATAGGCAACATGTGTATGAATACTCAGTTTTAAAATGTTGTATGTTCCTCAATTAGAAGTGCATTTAAAAGCATTTTTAATATTTGTATGCAGTGTGGCTTGCTTTTATCTTATTTGGAAAAATTAGGTGCTCCCTCTTGAAGTAAATGAGATCTACGAGAATGATGCAGATGCCTGTTATAACATGATTTACTTGGTGCTACTTTTGTTGATTAAAATGATTTTTTTTTTTTTTTTTTTTAGACGGAGTCTCACTCTGTGGCCCAGGCTGGAGTGCCATGGTGTGATCGTGGCTCACTGCAAGCTCCGCCTCCCGGGTTCACGCCAGCCTCCTGAGTAGCTGGGACTACAGTCGCCTGCTACCACACCCAGCTAATTTTTTTTTTTTTTTTTGTATTTTTAGTAGAGACGGAGTTTCACCGTGTTAACCAGGATGGTCTCGATCTCCTGACCTCGTGATCCGCCCGCCTCGGCCTCCTAAATTGCTGGGATTACAGGCGTGAGCCACTGCACCTGGTCGATTAAAATAATCTTAATTATTTTCAGACACTCTCTTCCAGTTGAGCATGCATCTGTGGAGAGTCTCAGTTATTACCTTCTTTGGACAATAGTAGTACCAGTTACTTTTCACTACTACACGTTCACATTCACAAAGCTTTTCAGTATATCTTCACTGAGTCAATCATAGAAACACGTGTCTTAATCACCAAGGTGCTAGAATCGTGTGCCCAATGTATTCACATTCCCTAGTAGACAAGATAAGAAAGCTAGTTGAGTCTGGGAAAAGAATGTTGCTACTTTTCTGTTTCAGTGCACTAACTTCAAGGAGCCCATTTGTTCCAATATGCAGTTGTGGAGGTTTTATAAGGTTGTGGAGCTTTTCTTCCCTAGAGTAATAGAGAAGTGATGATGGATAGTTAGCCAACTGATGACTTCTATCTATCAGTATAGCTCCCCAAAGAAGTCTCTTATCCGTTACCTGTTTTAACCTAACAATATTTCTGTCTGATAGTGAGGGCAATGATTTTTGTTTGATATCTGTGCATTATTAAACAGAAGCTCAGATAATTTTGGGTATTTGATTAAATCCATGCAACTAATAAATATGCTGAGGTCTTTTCCTCCTAGCCAGGGTTCTTTCTATACACTATTTTTCCTTGTGCAGCAAAGTCTCTGGATTTATTTCACTGCCTTCGTGCTCTGTTCTTGGTTACATCCACACTTGCTTGTGTAATGCTAGAACATCAGACACGGTTGAAACCCAAGCAAGTCCTCACCATTCCTCTCAAACTATCTCCAAAAGGAACTGTTGATGAAATGACATTGGCTAGGTCTCAGTGCGTATAATGTTGTAGTGAGCTTCTCCTTATCTAGAGAAAGAAGAATGTGGGCTCAAACTTGTTTAAAATCACACTATTCTGTTTGTACCAAAAAACAAGCCAACAAAACAGCAGGCATCACCAAAGAGAATAGGAACTTTATATGTTTATTCTTTCATTGAAGTATTTGACATGGTTGCAATTTTGGAAATTATGTATATTAAAGTTTTGTGTCTTCAAGTTGAATTAAATAAAAATGTTACTAGTTCATGAGTAATTTTGAGCAATTTTGCTAACTGTATTACAATAATATTTGATAATTGGATGCTGTGATGACAATAGTGAGGAAAATCTTATTTATGCTTCTGATTCTCAAAATGTTTTCTAGGATACTATGGCTTTCCAACTGTATCCATCAAGTATCATACTTTTCACATAGAGTTGACTGAATTAGTACAGGGAAACTGCATAACAGATTCCGTTTGAGTCAATAACTTTTTTTCATAGAACGTTATGTAAAATATTGAACAAAATGAAGCTAATTTAGAGACATTTTAAAGACAAAAAGATTTGATTTTCATTAATATTGTTTCCTTAAATCATAGGGTGAACTGCAGTATGTCTATGGGCTATAGTGTGGTTGAATTGCTGAGTTTCTGTGGAAAAATATGGCAAACGGAATTCTTGTTTCTATACCTAAAATTAACATTCACCACAGGTCTTGGGTTCATCCTCTCTCAACTTTCCTTTGGTTCTAAGGAATTTTGGGACATCTGTGTAAGGTAGATACAGAACAGGGTGAATGCTGGCAGACTGATTATTATGCTGTCCAGCCTATCAGGAAAGGGATATGGATGAAGTGGGCTGAAGCAAGACTGAAAACATGTATTGCTTACTTTGTTCTCTGCTCATTCATTATGCTTACTTTCCGAGTCAAGACCCAGTAAAATAGCTGATTACACATGCAATAATGCACTTTTATCACTTGCTAATCTTTAAAGTTCTAACATTTATCTTCATGTTTTGTAGTGTGGCTTAATTTGGCTTTAGTGATAGCTTTGTCCCTTTTATGGTCATTTACAACTGGGAATTTTATTAGTTATATTATTGCTAAATTTTCTGCTATCACTGAGTTTATCAAGTCAACTGATAAATTAGTTTTCATCATAGCCAGAGATTTGGATTTAGCATTGCAGACATGGATTTGAGAAGTTAGGTCATTTTCTAAATTTCAAATAGTAACTAACTGAAAGATAAAAAGTAAGTTGAGGCCATTTAGAAATTAAAGTCCAATTCTAAAACAGGATTCACAATTTTGAACTCCTAGTCTTTTGTCTCAATGTCAATTGTTTCCTGAAAGTATATTCTTGTTGAAATAAAAGCACTTCATATAAATTTATAAGATGAATATTTTGTTTAATAGTTAGGGATCTGTTTTGTACTGACATGATGTTTGTTTTTCCATTAAAGTCTAAGATATTTTCAGATTTCAGGTAAATCATAACAAACCACATTATATTAATATTACTTTAGTAAAGTCAGTGAGTATGTAATTGTCATAGAAGTTCAATTTAAGCTGCAGATTTTCTAATTTAAAATCTATACTTTTCTTCAGTGATGATCATTAAACGAAACATTCATGAAATATTTACTTTGTTTGCTTGAAAGAGAGAGTAAATGGAGAACAATCTTGTAACCACCAAGAGATGTGAGGAAAACGAGTCTGTCTTCATTTTCTGCAGTTTTCTGTTTATGGAACTCATGCACATCCTTGTACAGAGTGAATGATAAAGTCTGAATCATTTCGGAGTTACTGATCATCCCTAATTATAGTGCCACTGTAGCATACCTATAATTAAGAGAGAATTAGCCTTTCAATTATAAGCCACTATTTTTAGAGCTTCACATTTTAATAATCTCTTATCTCAATAAAATAGGACAGATCTTGAATTAGATGACTTTGTGTAGAAAATGATTGTATAGGACCCATATGCAGTATGTTACTACAGAAGCTTTGATTTTTAAGGACAGGAAATGGTTTTCTTATCTAAACCTATCATTGGCCTGTCAAACCACAAAGCACAAGTATTAGCTTGCAGATAGGAAGTAGCTCTTCGTGCCTGTGCTGTCTCCCACACTGCAATCTGTTCCTTCTGGTTGTCTCCTCTGGGAGGATGAGGGACACAGATTGTTCTCTAAATATATGGTCTACTTTGATGATAATGTTGAAAGAAAAAGATTCTGAACATTGCCAAAATAAAGGTATTTGCCTTCTTGTTTAATGCAGTTTGTTCCATCTGCAAAAGATATTTAATCTGGTAGTAAACCACGAGACTCTACTGTTATTACTCAGCATTGTAGACTTTTTATAGAGTTTAGAAATAGTATAAATAATGGATAACTAATATTAATGCAGCTGTTACTTACCAGTGAAATAATTAGTTTGAAATTTTCCATGTGCATACATGGTCTCCTATATAATCAATATTACAAGAGAATTAAAATAATTGAGAGCATTTTTTTTTAAAAGACGGTAACCTTTTTTCAACTCTCTCTAT